TCCCTACATCCCGTCCTCCCCAGGCTCACCCATGGGGGGAAAATCTCCAGGGATTTCCCAGTCCAGTGATGGCAACCCTAGCTCTTGATTAGAGACTGTCTTTGGTAGACTGCCCCAGACAGTATAGGTTGGGGCTTTCCCATGGCTTCTGTTTTCCAGGCGCGCACCCCTTTCAGTATGGGTTCAGCTTCAAGAAAAATTCTTGAGAACTCAGATATTCACTTGCGACTTTCTGACATCGTAGTTTGCTATAATATTACACTACAACAGCTTTTAAATTAGTTCTATGGACCAACGAGCTGTTTGTGAGAACATGGCTTCTTTATGACAGAAAGGGACTCCAAGGTGTATCGCATGAACCACACATGAAGCTGCCTTATACTGCATCAGACCCTTAATCCATCAAGGTCCCTGTGCTGCCTATCCACTCTACCACCAGAAGCTCTGCAGGGTCTTCAGCGGGTGCTCTGTCACTTGAGCTACAGCCCCTCCCTTGCAAGGCGCTGTCTCCAGAGCCTGGAGGGAAGTGTATGAGTCAGGGTGGTCCAGAGATTATTCTGGGGTGCAGCTGCCCCCAATTTCTTAATATTCATTTCTCCTGGAAGGCACCTTATTGTGGGGCAGTTACTATCAGAACCAGTGTTTGGGCTGGGCATCAGTGAATGCCACCTTGTAAGGCAGAGCCCCTGAATCTGAGGATGGATGATTTGAGGTGATCCAAAGCCCTTCTGGGAGTGCAGAGCTTATTCATATCATCAATATTTGGGGTTGGATCTGTGAACTGGGAACCATCCTCAGCCTTATGCTTTGTTACTATCATCTGTATTGAGATTTCTTGGTCTATATAAGCCATTCACACATGCATTAATCAATATTTGAAGACTCCCCAGTGAGTGCGTGAATGAGTGCTTGTGAGTGAGCAAGGTTCATGGTTCCTTAAATACCCAATTTGTACGTGCATGTATAAGCATTGAGAAATGGCCTAGGCTTACAGACCAATCTTATCTTCTCTGCAGTGAGAGGATTGCTCTCAGAGGTCATGTGCCCACACTTTAAAGAACTGACTTGTCAATTCATAGCAATGGGCCATCTAGTCCAGCCATTCCGTTCCCAGCAGCTGCGTGCTCACAAGCAGGGGAGGAAGGTGGTAGCCATAGTTATTGGTCCCCACCATCTGGCACTCTGAAATGCAATGTTTCTACATATGGAAGTTGTTTTGTTTTATCATAATTAATTCTCAGGGGTAGATACATCCTCCATGAATTTATTTTAATCAGTTATTACAGCCATCTAAGCTATCATCTCTGGCCCCAGCTCCTGCCAACCTAGCAGTTCGAAAGCAAGAAATCGCAAGTAGATAAATAGGTACCACTTAGGTGGGAAGGTAACAGCGTTCCGTGTGCCTTGGTGTTTAGTCATGCCGGCCACATGACCACGGAAACATATTCGGACAGCGCTGGCTCTTCGGCTTTGAAACGGAGATGAGCATTGCAACCCTAGAGTCGGACTTGACTGGCTTTCGAGCAAGGGAACCTTTACCTTTAAGCTATCATCAAACCATTGCTAGTGGATTCCAAAAGTATAATTATGATTTATGTGAAATGTTGTATTTGTCCTACACCTACTGCAAATTAACTGTTAGGTGACTGAACTCTAGCATTATGAGAGAGGAAGATTTGTTTTAAATTACCTTTCTAGAATTATATGGAGCTGAATTCTGCAGTCCATGAATGGAGCTCCAGTCTTGGAATGGAACTGCTCCCCTTTTGCTGAAGACCCCCTACCCCTCCTGAAATGCTACCCCTGGAGTTCAGGGTACCCCAGGAACAGTGCTGAGTGTGATGTGTGGGTCTGCAGTGAGGGGGGACTGGTGAAAATCTGTTCCCTCCTTCATTTATTTATCTATCAGATTTATACCCTGCCCACCCAGCCAAGGCCGGCTCAGGGCTGCTTACATAAAAAGAATAAAACCCATCTTTGATGTCAGTGCAGCTTTGGCTGCAGCTTGAGGTGGGGAAGTTGCTCAGCGTGGCGGGACTGTGGCAGAGCCAGATTGGTGCTGCTGCCACACCAGCCTTCTGCTGCCTTTCCCCCACCTCGGCCTGGGAACATGCAGAGTTCCTGCCATGCCGCCAAACAAGGAGTGGCACAATTGGCTAAAGGCAGAGGCGGGGTGCTGCTCTGAGGGGGGAGTGCTCTGTGGCTGAGGGAGAGACCCAAGCAGAGAGCCGTTTGAGTTCCTGGGTGGGCAACTGTTGTAAGTCAGTCTGTGCTGAGTGATTACTCAGATTTCTCAGATAAAGAGCTACCTGCTAGCCCTGAGGCAGTGCAGCCAGCTCTGAGCCAGGAGAACAACAAGAGATCAGGTTACCAACTGATCAGGAGTCACAGCCTACAGCTGAAACCAAGCCAACACCTTGTAGCTCTGAAGCAGTAAACAAGTCTTCAGCAGCCACTCACAGTCTACCTAGCTCACCCAGAGCCTTGCAGCACCGATGCTGTCAGAGATGCTTACAGTTGCAAGAAAGAAGAAGTGCAAGACTCATGGCCTGTCATCAGCTATCAAGTGAGTAGTTTCAGGATGACTGCCAAGGAATTGGCTGGGAGTTTAACTCATTAAGACTTGGCTATAAATTCAGCTGGGAGAAGCAGCAGTTTGTGGCTGTAACAAGTAAACTTTATTGGGAGAAGCAGCAGTTTGTGGCTGTAACTTTACTACTGAGTCACCAACCTTACTGCTACTGGATCTCTGTAACCTTGAACCTCAAACTGGACCTGGTGACCAGCTTTTCTGGAACCCCTGACCTCAGATTGGACTTGCTGCCTGGAACTCCTTGATCCCAAAATGGAATTTGGTAAATTTGGAACCCCTGGTTTTTGGACTGGACTTTGGTTACTCTCTGCAACCTTGTCTCTGACCTGTCCTGCTAGACCACAGCCCGTGTCTCCTGGGGAAGCTACATCAGTACAGCAGCCTTCCTTAGGCAATGGCAATGAGAGAGAGAGCTTGATTTGGTGAAGCTGCAGCTAACCTGAGGCAAAGAAAAGTGTCACTGAGTCCTGTGGGGAGTTCCCCTGGCTGGCACTGTTCTCGGGGCATGGGTGTGGTGTGGGAGCACATGCCTTTAAATAACTCTTTAATGTATTTTTTTTACATTTTGAGATAAAATTTGTGGGGTTGTAGCTTTACGAGAGGGGGGCAGAGCCCTGAAAAGCCCCACTGTAGCTATAGGCCTGAGGTGCCCTTGCGTTGGTGGAAATAGACTGTAGGATTCAACTGTGATGTAGTGTACAGTAAAATAAATGCATTTCTGAATGACTTTAGGGCCAACACACTTGTCTTTTAATGTTATATCTGCTGTGTTTGTTTATGATATAGATTTTACACCAGTGCTGTAGTTCTAAGCATGCTTCCTGGCTTGAGAGTCCTATTGAACTCTGTTGGACTTACTTCTAAGAAAGCATGCTCAGGGTCATGATGCATACCTGTTGTGTATGTGGGCCACCACGAGGGGTTCGCGGCACAGGCAAGAGCTTGGATCTGAGAACAATGGAAACTTTGGATCCTAGATCCCCCAGCCCCAACCAATAGCCACTTTGGCGGGACATTCAAACCTTCCAATGGGAATGGGGGGTGCTGGGTGGATATGTATACAGTTGGCCCTGTCGGGCCGTTAGTTAGTCTTTGTCTGTGTTAAGTACAATAAGTGCGTGCTGAAGCATGTCGTCATCTGAGTCCTCCATGCGGCGAACCCAGTACTTTTCAGTGGCGACGAGGATGGGCTTTCCTGGCCGCCTTGAGACAGCTGGCCATGGACTGTGCATTTACAAAGGTGGAGGAGAACCTACTAATGCAATTTGTGTGAGGCATCAGCGACCAGAAGCTGCGAAGAAAGTTGATCGGTACCACTGACATCAAGCGCGACACAGCCCTCCAACTCGCTATCGCCCACGAGGCCTCTCACCGAGACCGTCCGCCGGTGGCGACTCACCTCATACTCCCCGACTCAGGCCCTGAGAACTCAGAAGAGGACGACGTCCGGCTCATCCGCCAGACAGTACGCCGAAAGCCACTGGGTCCTGCGGCATCAGGATCCACCACTGGCCGCTCCTCATGTGCCAGCTGCGGCAAGGCACGTGAGCGCAAGTCTTGTCGCTTCTGTGATGCGACATGCCACACTTTGGGAAACGGTCATCTCGCTCCAGTCTGCCGGTCAAAGGGAAGCCGGCACAAGCAGCCTCCAGCGCAGCCACGCCGCCCTGCCGCATCCCACAAGACGGCAGCAGAGACATCTGACCTCTACTTCCTCACGGATTGGCCATCGCTACAGGTACTACACCTCCCGAAATTAGAGACTACCCCAAAGATCCAACTAATGGTACAAATCGAAGGGTCCCCCTGCACGATGGAAGTGACTCGGGGTCAGCGGCGTCCATCGTTTCCATGGACACGCTCCGCAGACTTTGCCCAAATGGGGGACCCCGCTTATGCCCACCCAATTTGAACCCAGTTCCTATCCGGGAGGTGGGGACGTTCCGGGTACAGTTTGGGACGGTTGGACTTGATAGTGGTTGAGGGAAATCTGGTCAGTCTGCTGGGTCGGGCCTGGTTCGTGCCGCTGGGCATCACAGTCGGGGTTGGGGGGGTGCTTAAATGTGGTCTGAGAGACTTTTTGGAGATTTGGGAGGAGTTCCCGGCAGTTTTCGATGGGGCTTTAGGTTGTTACAAGGGCCCCCGGTCTCCTTGCAGTTAGACCCCCTGGTAGCCCCAATCCGTATGCGATTCCGCACAGCCCCACTCGCCATATGACCAAAAATTGACGCAGAGCTGGACCGCTTGGTGGCACAAGGGGTCTTGGAGCCCGTCCTGCATGCCATATGGGAAACGCCCATTGTAACTCCCCTTCAGCCCAACAGGGAGGTCCTTCATGACCCCTCCTACCCGGTCCCGGTCATGAGCCATGTTTTAGCCTCATTAGCGGGGGCTAAGATTTTCGGGAAACTGGACCTAGCACAGGCCTATCAACAGCTGCCGGTAGATGTGGCCACATCTACCGTGCAGACTATAGTCACCCACAGGGGAGCTTTTAGGGTAAAGAGGCTACAATTCGGCATGAGCGTAGCCCCAGGAATTTTCCAACAACTAATGGATTCATTGTTAAAAGGGATCCCTGGAGTGATGCCATTTTTCGACGACGTCCTGATTGCTGCGGCATCCCCCAATGACTTCGCCTCCGCGCCGTTGTGCAACGCTTTGACTCGGCCGGCCTCAAAGTGAAACGGGAAAAGTGCCTCCTCGGGGTTCCAGAGGTGGACTTCCTGGGGTTCCAGGTTGATGCTACCGGTCTGCATCCAGCAAAGGACAAAGTGAAGGCCATCGTGGAGGCTCCCGCCCCCACTTGCAAAGCGGAACTACAGGCGTTCTTGGGACTAATAAACTTTTATCACGCCTTTTTGCCTCATAAGGCTGTGGTAGCAGAACCCCTACACCGGCTCCTAGATAAGTTGGCCCCGTGGACCTGGGGCCCGAGGGAGGGGGCGGCGTTCAGGGGAGTGAAAGCGCTTTTAATTTCTAATGATGTGCTAGCCCACTTTGACGAATCCCTCCCAGTTGTCCTTGCATGCGACGCCTCTCCCTACGGAGTCAGCGTGGTTCTTGGCCACATTCTCTCTGATGGCCGCGAGGTCCCCATGGCCTATTACTCACGGACATTGACAGCCGTGCACTGTCTGGCGGACGAGCCGGAGATGCCAAACCTGCCAAGAAGTTTGGCCCAACCCGCCAAGCGCTCCCACACAGTCATGGGAGTCAACCCGCAAACCATGGTCCTGGCTACATATCAACTTCGCTGGACCGTTCCAGGGACTACTATTCTTAGTAACGGTTGACTCCTACTCCAAGTGGCTAGAGGTCAGCCCCGTGTCTACCACCTCCACTAAGGCAGTAATCAGATTCCTCCGCCAGATCTTCGCCACGCATGGCCTGCCGGACACAATAGTCTCAGACAACGGGGCAGCCTTCACGTCTGCGGAGTTCCAGGAATTCATACAGAGAAACCTGATCAGGCACATCCGCTCGGCACCCTTCCACCCTGCGACCAACGGCCAGGCAGAGCGAATGGTGCGTACCGCGAAGGAAGGCCTTAGCCAGATTTCAGAGGGGGGCTGGGAGTTCCGCCTAGCCCGTTTCCTCCTGACCAATAGGGAATGGGGGGTGCTGGGTGGATATGTATATAGTTGGCCCTGTTGGGCCGTTAGTTAGTCTTTGTCTGTGTTAAGTACAATAAACGCGTGCTGAAGCATGTCGTCGTCTGAGTCCTCCATGCGGCGAATCCAGTACTTTTCAATAACTTCCTATAAACCATGGTTCCATTTCATAGTCAATGGATCATCTAACTATGGAAGACAATGGAGAGAAAGGAAATGTAATTTTTGTTACTTTTGGAACAGATGAAGAGCAATGAATACTTTTTTTATGGCTGCCATGAGGTCATAATGGATTGCAGGCTGTGATGAGTGGTACTTCTGACATCATAATTAGCTCCTTGGCAACAGCTGAAGCATAAACACAGAAGCCATTGCTTTATGAACTCACACTAACCTTGGCTGACCAAGCAAAAGTGTTACCTGGTGAACTCTCTCTGCATCTGAAGTTTGAAGCATCTGGAGTCCTGATCTCGATCTCTCAGCTTGAGCTCAGGCTACTGAGCTGGGACCATAGCTTCCAACTCTCCCGTGGCTTCTCTCTACATCTTAAATTGATATCCTTTAAAGACTTTGTTTCAGCTTACTTGAACTATTCAATTAGGACTCCACAGAAGGCTTAAACTAAATCTTTTAAGAATAGTGAGACAAAACCCAAGTCCCGGGACTTGACAAAAGAAGCAGCAGAGGACTTGGCAAAGGAGAGAGCCGAAGCAAGATGGGAGACTGGAAAGCCTACATCAACACCGTCCTGAAGGACAAAAACATTGAAGATGTAGCCATTGTGGGACATTCTGACAATAAGTCAGTATGGGCTTCTAAACCGGGAGGCCTCCTGGCAGCCATCTCTCCCCAGGAAGT